CATCGCGTCGGTGCTACCAATAATGTAGCCTGGAAAACCGACACTATAACAGTATACGGACGAACCGTCCTTATCCCGAAACAGTGCAACGGAGTCGTACTTTGGAACTTCCAAGACCTAGTATCTTCACTCGGACCAGCAGATTATATCACAATGGCCAGCACTTATCACACTTTTATCGTCGACAAAATACCCGTCTTAGTGCTACTAAAGAAAAATGAAGCTAGAAGGCTCATTACACTATTAGACGCTCTCTACGAGGCTCGGTGCAAATTAATCGTCAGAGCAGCCGTGGGCCCAGACGGCCTATTCTTCCCGGATGCCCAACGCACCGTAACAACAGTGTCCCCAAACCCCGCTGTAGCGCAAGAGCAAGTCGACGTAGACGCCATACACTCTGAGACCATCGCTGAGGCTTACCAGGACCAGATGTCACCTTTCCGGCCCAATATCTCATCGTACACAGACTCAAATAATACCGAATATGATCCTGACCAAGACTCGGACTTCGGCGTCGACCCTAAGAAGTCCAGGGTCGATTTTAGCAACACGGGCGCATTCACAGGCGAAGACGAGCGTTTCGCTTATAAGCGCGCGGCAAGCCGTCTATGGGAGCTATGCAGTGAGAGATGGCATGCCCGCGACGGCGACTGGTGGCAACCATTGCCAATAGAGGCACGGCATTGGGAGGGCGGTCAGCCAGCAAAGCCTCGAGTGTTATCGCCTGGTGAGAAACCGTCCAGTGATGTTACTATGGGGTCCTCTACCGAGCTTGAGGAGCCTGCTGGTTTACAAAAACTGAGGGTTGAATATTTGAGGAAAACCATAGAGTATGAAAAGTAGCCAGGATCGATGAATTCTAGCATTCGAACCCGTCACGACTTGGGCATAGATTTGATTAGTGTATATAAACATCAAGATAGGCGAGGATAGAGGTAAGGCACTGAAAAGCCCGTCTTTTATCCCATCAACGCCAGAACGCCATGCTTAATGCCCGTAAACGCCGTATGGCTAAGACGCAATCGTGCCTTCTGGCAAAATCCCAAGCATAATCTGACGATATCCCTCCCTCCCTCCCTTCAGCCTTCTCTCTAATGCCATACCCCCCTGCTTTGAAGCTACAAACTCGTAACACCGGGCGCCCACGTCTCCCCGATCCTCCTCATCTCGTCCCCGAACTTCCGACTCGTAATCCTCTTAGCCGCGGCGCCCGTCTTCCCGCCAGCAGGCACGGTGGTCTCGTCAGGGTCATAGAAGGGGTTCTGGAGCAGGCGCACATACGCCGTCTGCATGGCGCGGAAGACGGGCTTCATCTCGTTGTCCCTGAGTCCCACGCCCCCTATCCCTCCCCCTCCGCCGCCGCTGCTAGGGGCGGGAGCGCGCCCTCCGAGTAACCGTCCCCGCATATCGACCACGGCGACGAACTTCACCCCCGTGTTCGTCTCGAAGCCGTACGCGGCCAGCCGGTCGTCGATGGCGTGGAGGAGGCCGAAGTCGCCTGACAAGAGCATGCTCCCGCCGCCCCCAGTGCTGCCGGGGCTCGCCTGGTGTCGCGATCGCGCCTCGAATATGTCTAGGGTCCCCGAGAGCAGGAGGGAGAATTGCAGGGGTGTGCGTGTGGGTGCGTAGGTCTGCGTTGTGGTGTCGTAGGATGGGAATATGGTTATGTGGAGAGGATTGTTCTATACGTCATCTCGATCAGCATTCATCAGCCACGTCGTCGTTGTTATTTGCTATTCCATGGGCGCTAGATGTGGTTGGGGGTTCGTTGGAGTTCATTTATGCAAGGGTTGGAGATATTGAGTCGCTATTGAGTGAAATATAGCTGGGAGAAGCTCAATGGTGTGACTTACATTGCGCCCTATGACGCCTAAGCAGGCTATTGAAGGTATCGTGTTCGCCATAGCCGCATCCAATGACCGTAGTATGGAATGTATTGTTGCGTCAGAGGCAGGGTTGCGTGGGATTCCAAAAAGTTGAAGTGGGAGCTGGGGAACTGGGGAGCTTTGGAGCCTGTGCCCCACTACTCACTTACAATACCTAGGTACTCCCTTGTGACTGAAGTTCTCAAGTGATATTATTGTCACACAATACCTATCGTTGGACGACAGAGAGAAATGAAATACCTGCAAACAAAACATTAAAATTTTAAGCTTCCGTAATTCCCCGAAACTACTACGAGAGAGCTTAATATAACAAAGTCAATAACCACGTTATATAGGGGTTGGTATTCTATGAGGCCCTTACCCGCCCAAGACCAAATGCTCTACATAAATACAACACTTGTTGAAACTTGATGAACACCCACCAGCCGATAGTTCCATGTGCGTAAGAGTATAAATACAAGGGTAGGTAAAGCCATGGCATCGCATGTCAACCCATGTTAAAATGGGCCAACACGGCCACCTCTTATTCCTCTTCTTCGATCAAAGACTCCGTCTTCTCTAGTCCCTTTAGGACCTCATTGATCTCATTTGGGTCTGTGATAGCCCACACGCCACCTCCTTTGAGAGTATCCATGCCACGCATTCCAACTTCTTTACCGACCAGGTTTCTGCCGACCTTCCCCGGCCCTATACCAATCCATCTCCGGACTTTCTGCTCCTGGTCAAGGTATTTGATGCTGTCCCACCACCTGACCGTCTCGAGACACTGCCTTGCTAAAAGTTCTTGAACATCGGCAGCGCTCGCAAAAGGTCTGGCACTGACATTGCTAATGCATTCCACCAACCCGGGAAACGAGATAATATCCTTATCTTCCCGGCCCTTGACCCGGCTCTTACTTGTTACCAGTTCCCGCATGACGTAGTACGCTGGCCACATGATAGGGCTATGGAATGGACTATCGCTATTGAGCTGGACGGCCCGAGGGTCATGACCAAGAAACTGTCGCACATGCGCCACTACAACACCAGGAATTAGTCACCATCATTTAGGGCGTGAGATAAACGTTCGAAGCCGCCAGACGTTTCTAAGACATGACCGAAGCCCTAAAAGGGCCCTCATATTCTACAGATCGTCGGGACGGTGAAATAACGGATAGTTGCTTACCTAGTTCCTTAATCTTGTGTAGTGAGCCGCTGAGCACGATCTGGTTCTTACTATTTATGTTCGCTATAAGGACTTGATCTATTGGTTTCCGGGAGTCGGCACTCTCGCTTCGCGTGCCGGCGCTTCGATACCCCACAAAGTCGTCTATGGCCTCAACGAGAGCCGAAAGGTATTCGGGTTCCGTGACAACGGCCACCATACCGTACTCGCCGCCGTATTTCTCGCGTGCTCGCTGCGTCGCCTCCGCCATGGCCTCGGCACGCCGGCTCACCATGTACAGCGCATCCTCGAACTCCAGGACCCCGGCGGCCACCAGCGCTGCAAACTCGCCGAGCGAGTGGCCTAGCGATACATCGACTCGTTCCGCCACTTTAAATCCGTACTCGCGCTCTAAAATCCGCAGTATGAGGATCGATGTCGCCATGATCGCCGGCTGCGCGTTCGGCGTCGCGGTCAGGACCTTGCTAGGCCCGTTCTGTATTATATCCGAGAGCTTGTAGCCCAGGTGGGAATCTATCTCGTCGAGGATGGCCGAGGCGGAGCGGGGGAATGCCTCGAGCCATGGCGTCAGCATGCCGACTTTCTGCACGCCTTGACCTGTGAAGTAGAACCGTGGTCAGCCATGACACGAAGATTTGGAAGCCAGTCGAAGCACGCAGCGGAAGGGAGGCGCCGCTCACCGGGGAAGAAGATGGCCGTCCGGGGCCGCGGCCTGTTCGCGGTGGAGCCATGTCGTCGATCCCCAGCGTGGTGCTGTGCCGGAATTGATGTCGCGGCACGGAATGGAAGAGCCGGCGAGCCTCGAGCCAGGGCCCGAACACTGGCAGAGGCAACAGCTGTTCGGGCGAGTGGACGGCGGATGGGTGACACGAACGTACTCATCGCCGCAGACCAGCTAGAAAGGAGCTGCGGCGAAGGCAATTATTGATCATCGAAGACCAAGCACTTTATGGTCAGTGTAGGGAACCGGGTTTCACGATCCGTCCCTCGGACTTATGCATTGCAGCCCTCCACAGAAAATGGGGTCGCTTACAGTTACTGGTCTCTAGGTAACTATTAGGAAGCATACCTAAAGAAAGGTCCGGCGGTTCCCCAACTTCCCCGCATCTACCTAATACCTAGGTACCAGGTACCACCCAATATTCGAAGTATTCGTCCTGCACTGGATCCGTAGCGCCTTCGACTCGGCTCAAGTAACTATCCCTCAAGTATGAGCTATACGTACGTTGAACATTACGCCAGGCCCACGGCATCATCCATCTCGAGAAAAACGTTACGCAGGAAACAATGGACTGGTTCGTTCGCGCTACATGGCCAAACAGTTCACTTAGCTCTTTCTATCAACAGTGTCGATCAATGCCTGGTCAGTCCTGCGATCCGCAATAAATTTGCCGGGATGGTTCTAGAGGCTACAGAAATCACCGATCTACGTATAGGTAGTCATAGGCTAGCTGTACCTAAGTAGCTTTTGGCTTACTTAAAGGTGTGCGGCATAGTGGCTTGGCTGGAAAATCTTTTAGCCTGAGCCTGGCCTAAGTTTGGGGCCTATAAAGAAAGGAAACCCCGTGGCTAATCTGGTCAGCCGTTCTTCTTTTCGCACCTGTTTCTTTCCTCCATATAATCAAAACATCTAAGTTCTCTTTCATCCTTCCTATTAATAATAAATCGTTTCTATTTTACTATGGTACTTTTTATATAACTGCTACAGCTAACACTTTTCCACCTACGCTTTTTTCGACACTTTCCCACATACGCTCTTTCCGACACTTTTCCACCTACGCTTTTTTCGACACTTTCCCACATACGCTCTTTCCGACACTTTTCCACCTATATACACACCTTCCAACACTCTTCTACCCACGCTCCTTTCGCGCCTTCTATACTACGACTGCCTCCCTAGCGCCCAGACAGGCATATAAACGAACATAACCCCCGCATTCTCTAACAAACTCCGGCTGGACTAGTTGGTTATGATGTCGTATTGTCAAGCTATCTGCCAAGCAATAGTTCGAAGGCCGGGGGTTCGATTCCCTCGTCGGAGACTTTTTTTTTTAACTTGTCCGACCTTGTTTCTGCCCACACATACGCTCGCTTCTCCTAGCTTGTTTTTTCGTTTTTCTAAGACGAATAAGTTGCTATTTAACATGAGGTATAGTATACCCAACATTGCTTAATACGATCACTTTTTAATAATACTGTTCTTTGGTGTAAGGTGTGAAATTTGTTTTTAACCCTGCTTCTAACCTAGGCACGCGAGTGCAATGGTAAGTAAACCTTGGCCCCTGTCGGGTAGGTGTATGTGAGTAAGAAGGGACCAAGTTAACCAAGTTCTCTTGCGTTTGAGTGCTAGGCACTGATACTATCAATGGTTGGTCTTAGAGTGTTTTGTGATGTCTGGTTCTAGGTAGGTAGTTTACGGTCTCATTGCTTCGTGAACATACGAACACCCCCATATCTAATTAATCAACTACCGTCTACCCTCGCATCACTCGCCAGCGCACCATCACTCTTTCGTTACGATCGAGCCTCTCTACCTACTTAGTATTGTGTAAGTCCTATTGTTACATCAACTCTCTTAACATCTTTCTTAGCATTATACCAACCGAATCAGACTCGGAATCGAAGTTGTAATCATTTTGCGTTCGTTAGGTTTACTACCTAGGTGCAAACGTTTAGAAGTTTACTACTAGGCTGCTAAGGTGGCCTGCAAAATAACATGGACTATTTGAACCAACATTCTGGTATAAGTGCTAGCTAATATAAATGAAAGTAAATATTCTACCCCCTTATAAAAAGTAACTTGGCAGGTAGACGCGCTAGGCAAGCCTCGCGAGGCCGAGTATACAGGGGGGTTTTTCCGTATACCTCTAGCTCAAGCTCAGAGTGGTAAAGATATGGGGTGTTCTAGTCACCAGGAGGTTAGCGCCGCGCCCGGGCCCTGGCAGGGGCCCCTATAAAGGGGGTCTTCGCCGCGGATCCAACGCGCGAGGGTTTTTCCTCGTCACCTCACTTTTCACCTCCCACGAAGGGGGTGTTTTTGGTGGTGGTCGGAGGTTTTTTAACCCACCCACCGTCCCTCAAGCTTAGTCACCAGTGGCTCGTCGACGCTCGGCTCGAGGTCGCTGTTTTCTAGGTTCGAGAGGCGGGAGGGGCCCATGGGGCGGAAGGAAGGAAGTTAGTCGCGTTGGGTTTTACTTTTCTGCTATTTGGGTGTGTATTCTACATAGTTCGGGCAGTTAGCCGAAGGTCTGCGTTCGAGCGGCCGGCTTACATACGAGAAGCGCGCCACCAGGCCCTTCGGTTAAAGGCTCACGCTCCCCCCAATATATGCATTCAACCACTGCTGCCGCAAACCTCCCAGTGAATAGACCTGGAGGTGTTACCTTTTACTGGGCCCCTACTACGTAAGGTGTAACTATGTTTCTAGCTTACCCTTTATAAGTTTGTTCAACTTGCTACCTATTAACAAATAACCCAGAGTGGTGCAATGGTAGCATTCCAATCTGACACGTGGGGAAGCCTATAGAGCGGAACCATGCCCGCAAGGGATGAAGGGATCTAGGTTCGAATCCTAGCTCTGGGAATTTTTTTTTTTAATTAAAGTTTTTTTTTTTTTTTTTAAAAAAAAAAAAATATGTTTGCCTTTTAACTGCAGGAGCAATCAAGGTATATAAAGGTTTATAAATAAACTGCTAATAGCCCTCCCTTGTTAATGTATTGGCATCTAACTGGTCTTACCATGTAGTGGACCTGTAGATCCAACCTAGTAGAGGTAATGTATTGATATAATATTGGGGCTGTGAAAAGGCGGGGCTTGCTCAGGTTAGCCAGGGCTCAGGCTCAAAGCGGCGTGGCTCAGGATTACTTACTGTTACCTCATGCACCTATCTACAGGTGGCTTGCGATGGCTGTCTTCATCCCTCATGGTATTGTATACCGTTAATTCTCGCTTGAAAACCCAAAGCCCACCGGAGCGCTTTATACCTAATGCTATCGTACGCCTCTATTTTTCAACAATCCGCAGAACCCACCCCGATACCATACCTCCCTCGCACACGCACCGTTGACAACATGTCCGTACGGATCGCGCTCGACAAGCCCCCCGAATTCTACACGAACCTCGACTTTATTAGCGGACGAGTCATCATAGCCCTCCAACGCCCCGAGACCATTGGCAACATCATAGTCAAGCTGGAGGGTGAATCTAGGACTGCCCTCACTATCCAGCCCGAGCGCCGCGACGACTACAACGTTCCGGGCAACAGCGTCACCGAGAACCACAAGATCCTCTACAGAGTGTTCCAAGTATACCCCGATGACGCCGTTGCCCTCCTGCTCCAGCCAGGACAACACGAATTCAAGTTCAACTTCAAGGTCCCGCTCAACAACATCTGCCACGATGCGCGCGCCATTAGCAATATCATGGGTGTCGGAGGCGTCGGGGGCGTGGGCAATGCAGGCATATTAGGCAGAGGCGGCTTTCGCACCATGGACGGAGCAAAACAGCTGATGTTGGCTCATGTTAAATCCACACTTCCACCCTCCCTCACAGGCTTCCCCCAGGAGGCCGAAATACGGTACTATATCAAAGTAACGATACAGCGCCCCGGCATCTTCAAGGAGAACTGGCGCTATCAGGTCGGCTTCAAATTCCTACCCATCGAGCCGCCCCGGCCCAACTCGAAGAAACAGGAGGCGTTTGCGCGCCGCCCTTTTGCCTTCAAGCCGCGCACACCTCTCTCGGGCCGAAGGTCTTTCTTTGGTAGCAAACCACCCAATAACCCTACTGGCATGGGTCCGACTCCTCCCTCCGTTGAAATATCAGCACGGCTACCATTTCCGTCTATATTAACATGCAACCAGCCAGTTCCTCTGCGCCTCATTGCGAAGAGACTCGTGCAATCACAAGAACAAATTCACCTAACGGCCCTTGAAATCGCTTTGGTTGGCTATACGCATGTACGTGTTGCCAATCTTGAAAAGATAGAGCAGACCAGGTGGATCGTATTATCGGCCCTCAACCTTGCAATACCGCTCGGATCGCCGTCTAATCCGGCAGACTCAGAGTTTGAAATACCGAAGACTCTGTGGGCAGCCCAGCGCCTCCCCAACACAGTCGCGCCGTCGTTCAAAACTTGCAACCTCATGCGGCGCTATGAGCTCGAGATAAAGCTTAGCTTGAGCTGGGGCCTGCGAGGAGGGAAGAGTGGCGGCATGCTTCCACAGGTTATCTCCCTCCCATTGACCATGTCGAGGATTGAGGTCTTCTCAGGCATCAAGCCGCCTGCTCAACTGCTTCAAGCAGCGACGGCGACCACAGCCGCAACCCCAACTAGTCCGCGCCCAAGTGCCGCTAATACCACTAATGGAAACGGAGCAACCCCGCGCCCGCCGCCTCGCCCAAGCACCAATGGTCGGCCCTCGGTCCCGCCGAGGCCTGCTGATCCGTTATATCCGCCACAACTAGGACCGGACAACGTACCGGGCTATGATGATGCGCCGCCGCCGAGCTACGACGAGGCCATGGCCGAGTCCCTAACGGGGCCGCAGGATCGTCCTGCTTATAGCGGTGTTACGGCAGAAAATGCGCCAAGCACAATGCCGCCTGACAAGTCGGCGCGGTAACACCTCGGGTATTGAGTCCTTATGAAATACTAAGTTCTACTTCGAATTCTTGTCCTTGTGGCATGGGATACAACCGCGTTAAAAGCAAGCAAAATAGAATGGCTTACTCTAGGTGCTGGAAGACTGACACTTAGGATAAGGAGTAGGCATGGGATGTTTGGATGTATGTACGAGTAATCAATGATACCCCTTGGCTTTTTTTTCTTACTCTCTCTTTTCCTAACGAAAAATCGTTCTGCATTCTGGCGTTCAGCATCCGGTAGTGAAAGGGGGCTAGGCTTAATTAATATAGGAATCACAGTGTAATTGTAACTAGCATTCATGGACTGACTGGTTCGTCGGTCTACTTAGATAGGCATATAATTTTTGTACATGTAAACTGAGCGGCATAATACCCTGCCGTATTATTTAGGCTGTGAGTAAAAAGGTATGATGTCTTTATAAAAGACCATGCACACTGCGAGTAGACATGATGAAAATGCGACACTAAGAATATATGCATTTATATATAGACAGTACATGCCGGATCTATATACAGCTATGTCTGAGATCTAGTCCGCGATGAAAATGCGATCAAGTGCGAAAGCTATCTAGGTATGCTCAACATGTAACAAAACCGTAAGAAAGTATTTCCTCTTCTGATGCGTCTCTTCTTGGAAATGCTATCTATGCAGCGAAGGCGTGCGTGTATAAGGGGGGACTGGTATCATGCGAGACTGGGAATTTGCGACGCGGCTGTATTCTAGATCTGGATGAAATCTTTCTTCCTGGCGTGGCCCGGTTTGTTGGTTGGTGCTTCACGGACATGGGCCCGTGTTGGGCGAGATTGAGATTCAGAGAGAGGCGTTCATAGCTTCTCCTTGAGAGTATCCTTCATCCGCTTCTCCACCGCGTTCAAGTATTCGGTGGTGGTGACGTAGTCCTCGCGGGCTGTCTTGCCGCATGCTAGAGCCAAGTCCTTGGTCATGATGCCATCAATATCCACAGTATCGATACAGGCCTTCTCGAGGGATTCGGCGAAAGCAACGAGTTCAGGGGTACTATCGAGCTTTCCACGCTGGATGAGGCCACGGGTCCAGGCGAATATGCTGGCAATGGGGTTCGTCGAGGTCTCGCGGCCCTTCTGGTGCTCGCGGTAGTGTCGGGTCACGGTACCGTGGGCAGCTTCAGACTCAAATGTCTTGCCGTCGGGCGTGATGAGGACCGAGGTCATAAGACCAAGTGAGCCAAAGCCTTGAGCTACGATATCGGACTGTACATCACCGTCGTAGTCTTGAGTTACAAGTTAGCGCATCCAGTTACGCGGTGCTCGGCTTCGATTACTTACTCTTCAAGGCCATGATGTATCCACCGGAGCTCTTGATCATCTGGGCAACCATATCGTCGATGAGGCGGTGTTCGTACCAGATATTCTTAGCTTCGAATTGCGCCTTGTACGTGGTATCATACAGCTCCTGGAAGATGTCCTTGAATCTGCCGTCGTATTTCTTGAGGATGGTGTTCTTGGTGCTCATGTACAGCGGTAGGCCCTTGTCGAGGGCAAGCTTGAAGCTCGCATGCGCGAAGCCGGTAATGCTCTCATCCGTGTTGTACTGCGTCTGTGCGACACCGCCGCCCTGCTTGAATTGGAAAACCTCAATCTCCTCGGGCTGGCCACCTTCGGGAGTGTAGACCATGGTCAGCTTGCCGGGGCCGGGGATAACGCGATCCTTGGCTCGATACTGATCGCCGAAGGCATGACGCCCGATAATAATGGGCTTCTTCCAGCCCGGTACAAGTCGAGGAACGCGGGGGATGACGATAGGTTCGCGGAAGACGGTACCGCCGAGCGCATTTCGGATGGTGCCATTGGGGGACAGCCACACTAAACGGAATAGCGGATTAGCATGTGACGGACAGGGTTTAGGGAGTGATCCATGCTTATGGTGGGAGAGCTGCGACAGGTCCTAACCTGTGCGACAGTATAGAAAAAGGAGTGCGGGGTAAATGATATTGCTGCTGCTGCTGCTGCTGGATGCCATGCAAGCATGACTGCAGCCCTGACGGCAGCAACAGGAGGTAGCAGCGCATGGGGGTATGCACATCGAGGTAGCTTGTCTTACTTTGTTTGAGCTTAAATTCCTCGACGCGCGCCTCGTCGGGAGTAATGGTAGCGCACTTGACACCAACCGAGTACTTCTTGATCGCCTCAGCGGCGTCGAGAGTGACCTGGTCGTTGGTCTCGTCACGGTACTCGAGACCGAGATCGTAGTACTTGAGGTCGATGTCGAGATACGGGAAGATGAACTTGTCCTTGATGTCCTTCCAGATGACACGGGTCATCTCATCGCCGTCCAGCTCGACAACGGGGTTCTTGACTTTGATCTTCTGCTGCGCCATGTTGTATCTGGTGTGGTGGAAGAAGGCGACGGGTACAGCAGGCCGAGCGACGGCAATGGGGGAGGACCTGAAGAAGGGGCGTGCCGATCTAGGCAAGGAAGATGGCCGGACGAGTCGGGCGGCGGCTGGAAATGCAGCACTCATGGTTGGTGACTGGAACCGGACAGACTGACGCTAATTATATGCTGAGGAGAATGCGACGAAGGATCCAGAGAAGTGGTGATGAGATAGCAGATAGCACTCAACAGCCGAGGAAGCCAATCGTATCAAGAATTGTTAGCCGGGACAGCTGGAGCCGAACGGGCCAAGGGACGGGGCCAGGAAAGGGAAGAGCTTTCGGGTACTTGTGGTTATAAGTGGCGATCTCGAGGTTGAGTCCGCAATTATTTAAGTGTGCCCGTTCCCGCGTTTCGTTTTTGCAAGCGAGACAGATAGATCGAACAAACGATGCCGATGTCAGATTTGCGGCAGAAACGACTTCAGTCGACAGATGTTCGCACACAATCCAACCACCACGTGAAATAGAGAGTCAAGAGACAGCGAGAGAGAAAGATGAGAGAAAAAATTCAATAAGGCGCA